CTTTCCTTTAAGTTGCATAAGTTATATAAGTCAAATCAAAACACGTACACTCTGACTATATTTAGATATTCATATGCACACCTGAGACTATCGCCGAGATCACGTGACTACCGTTGGTCCCGAAGATTGCTCGGCAATAATAAGGGTTTTCCATAGTAAACAAGTAATAAAATGAAAAAATAAAAAAAAAAAACATTTCTGTTCAGAATATTTTTGAACAGCGTTTTTTTCTGGGTGGATGCGGCGAACACATTTTTGATACAGGCTTATCCGGAGATGTTATACATTGTTGAATGCATTTTACCAATTTTCAATTCAAAATGGCCACAAAAATATGGTTTATGCTATAGAGGAAACAAGTTCGGCAACTTTTTATCTACTCTGTCTCGTTTATTCGACGAAACATTTCGCTTAGCTGTTTCAGCATTTTACTAGTGTGCATCCATAACAAATATTATATTGCGCACACATTGAAAAATAAATAAAACAGTGATATTGGAAGTTATAAAATTTTCACGACGTAAGCTTGTCGATTAGACCTGCGACACACAACTGAATTACCTAAAGGGCGGTAGTCGTCGCGCTACGCATGAGCGAGATATATGGGTCTCATATAAGCAAAGTTTTGACTGTTGCGCAGATCAACTAGTACAAACTGAGACATTACCAAGCTTTAATTATTTTTTTTAGGTGATTGGAAGGTATCGAAGGACTCACTGGCGATAATTAGTGCAAGTCGTGCCCGGGCCAAGCCTCATGCTTGTGATTTTCATTTGAAGAGCGCATTGGATTATGGGAAAATCAATGTTTATCAACACAAATGTCGCACATGCGCGGCGCGACGACTACAGCGCTTTAATAGATGGTTGTATCCAACAACGACATCCAATACAACAAAACAGAGACACACACATCGGATAATGTTAGTGACTTTTCTTTGTCTAGGTTTGTTCACGGAAGACGAACGGCAAATGCTTGAAGATACATTGTGCCCACACAGTAAATTCTGGGTACCATGTGCTTGGGCATGTAACTTAGTTGCTGAAGCAAGACGGGAAGGGCGTATACGGGACGACTTTGCATCTAAAGCTATTATTGACGTAGGTTGATCACCAAACTTCACGCAATAGCAATCGGATTTACTACTATCACTGTATTGTTCATGTCAACACAGGGAGCCCAGGAACTATGATCAACTGTATGATATGAGCGGGGGGGGGGGGTATCGGCTGGTGTCTAGTGTAAGAAATAGACAAGGGATGAAGGCTCCAGCCAGCTCATATTTTTTAAACTAGAAAAAAACAGACGAACAGAATGAAAAATAAAATCTATAAAAAATACCAGGTTGAAGAATATTAGTTGCTCTTTCAAATTTCGCCAAAGCCTCACCTATATTTACCGATATCTGCAGAAGAAATCAAGAAAACTACACAAATTGACTCCATTTATGAACAATTAACGGTTGGCCCGAACGCACGGCACAGTTCGTACGTAATCAGTCTTGTGATTGGTTCTTCGCCTCCAACGCTCATAGGGAGTGCGTACAGTTGATCATAGCTCCTGGGCTCCCTGTGATGTCACTGAAGATTCAGTTTGATTTAACAGTGGATATAACCAAGCTAGATTATGTGCCTACTAATCAATGTCACTTCTCATTGATCTACTGATATTGTCTTAAACATGTTTCATTTCTTTCATGACAGGAAATTCAGAAATTTCGAGACTACTCTGGAATGATTTACGCATTTGATTGGATAAGTGTTCCGTTAGTGTATACTCAGGTATGACTTCCTTATATGGTAATAGCATGCGTACATACATATGTTTGATTGGAGAAGTACACACAGCTGTACCCCCGCTAGAAATAATGGCTGATTCCTAGTATGCTACATAGATCAAATGCTCGATTCTCAAGACACGTATCAGTTTGTGCAATAATGACCGACTAAGCAATGAACTTTTCGCTTTTTCATAAGGGGGATAACAAAACCCCAAAGCTGCAGCACGTTCCCGATTTCTCGTGAAATAAAGACAAAATTCATCTTAATGCCATCGAGCACAGTGGATTTATAGTACTTATATGATACATTGTCTTGCATACAGGTGGTGACCTTGGCTGTTTACTCTTACTTCGTGTCTTGTCTGGTAGCACGACAATTCTTGGACCCAAAACAGGGCTACGTCGGACACGATATCGATCTCTATATCCCATTCTTCACTATATTGGAGTTTTTCTTTTACTTTGGATGGTTAAAGGTAATGCATTATACCCTCAACATATAGTCTTTCTAGTGATCCCAGCAACTTTGATGACAGCTTTGACGGTATCCCAGGCACCTTTCATAACTTTTCCGCCTTAGCTAGCAACTTTGACATTATTCCAAGAAGTTTAAATGACATTTCAGACAAAATTCTGCGTCATTCCTAGCAACTTTGACGGTATTCCAAGGACCTTTCTGGCAATTTGTCAGTATTTCAGACGACTTTTTTGATTTTTCAAGAAACTTTGACGACATCGCAGTAATTAATGATGACATTGTATACACATTGTACGAGTTTTCAGAAAACTTTGCCGATATTTCTGACAACATTGTCTGTATTCAACACAACATCTATAACATTAACGACTTTTAATACCTGATTGTTTCCGACCTTGTAGACAACATTAACGACATTCCAATCAACGTTTACGACTTTTAACGCAACTGTTATGATATTCTAACCAATGTTGTCGACTTTTTACGCAACTGTTATGATATTGTAACCAATGTTGTCGACTTTACTGGCAAATTTTATGATATTCTAACCAATGTTGTCGACTTTACTGGCAAATTGTATGATATTTTCCGTAACTTTTTCAACATTGCTGGCAACTTTGACAGTATTTCAGTCAACATTTACGTCTTGAACTGCAAATTTTCAAACTTTTTCCAGCATTAACGACTTTTCAGGCAACATTGACGACTTTAAATGCACCCTTTACCCAAGGCAGCTTTGCCGACTTCTCCGGCAAAATTCATTGCAACGTTTTAAATATTTCAGGCAAGCCTGGCGTTTTTCCGGTGAACGTGAACGACTTTCTATGCAGCATTTATGACATTCCTGGCATCTTTAACAGTAGTCCAGGCAATATTTAGTAATTTTCATGTAATATTCACGACTTTACCAGCAAATTTTTCCAACGTTGTAGACGACATCATTCGACATTGCATGCTACGGAATTCATTTAAGCTTTCTATAACTTTCAGTTCAAGACATTCTTGGCAGCCTTGACGGTATTTGGTGTTATTTCTAGCAACTGAACGACTTTTCAGGCAACTTTCATGGACTGATGCAGCTTTTCCGATATTCCTGTCAATGTTGACAGTGTTCCGGCAACTTTTATGTCTATTTAGGCAACTTCAACTTCAATTTCAAGGCAAAATTTAAGAATAAATTTTCCGACCTTGTAAATTAATGACATTATAGGCGACCATGCTGACCTTTCAGTCAACGCTCTCCATGGAAGTTTTACTAGTGATCCCAGCCAACATTTATTTCGGATCGCGTATATAAAATTGACGAATATATTGACAATTTTTCATCTGAATTTTCTAACTTCATAAGGCAACTTTTTCTTCATTCCAGGCACCCTTCGCGGTGCTCCAACCCCAACACAACGTTAGTTGGGTCTGATGCCGTTCGGCCGGCGAGGGCGCCACCCACGCCTACATGTCAGGCTAGACCTGCAAGTTCGTCCACAATACCACTTGCAATTAGGTTTTGGCTGACAACCATGTGCCTTCTGGGAACATGATATTTTAAAGTTATAATCGGACACCGCTTTGTAACGAGTGCTTATGTAAATAATGCAGGAATACTCATAAAAAGGCGACGTGTAAAATAACATAAATGTTCTCGAATTTCGTGTCAGGTTGCAGAGGCAATCATTAACCCATTTGGTGAGGACGATGACGATTTTGAAGTGAACTTCATGGTTGACAGAAACTTACAGGTATTGTTAGAATGATATTATTACAATTACTGCATTATAATATGTATTGGGTTGTGATGATGGATCATGGCTTTGACATTGATGATGGTGATTAAGGAATTGATGAGTGTTGCCTTGACAATCAACGATGATGATCATGGCAATAGGAGGCTGTGACAAAAATGATATTTAGTGTATTGAGATAATATGCATAATGGTGACTGTTATCAATTAAGATATTAGGTGATTGTAAGCAGTGATGTCAATGATAATGATTATGACGTGGTTTATAATAAATGATTATGGCAATTGTCAATCAAGTGTTGTGATGACGACGTGTAACCACGGCCCATTTATGGTGTAACAATATTCTATTAAAATAATATATCTATTAGACTATTTTCTGTTCAGTGCGAGATCCCGTGTTATGCGTGAAATCGAACGTAAAATCAGGACAAACAAAGGTCATAGCGTCGTCAACAAATCGCAAAAATATTTTGGGCGATGACCCCCCCCCCCCAACTTTTTTTTCGATGGAAACGACCCACCTTAACGCATCTTAACGCCATATTTCCATCTGGGAGCTTGGTATTTTGACATTGAACTATAAAAAAAAATTCAAGTTCAAATCGAATCATTCAATTTTTGCAGCAGACTTCGGACAGAGGACTACATATAAAACAGGATCAGCTCTGAACAACACCACAATTTACGTCTACATGTGACCACTAGAGGGCTTGGTAGGAATTCATAGCAGTTTTTTTTTTTTTGCATCTTTTTAATGATTTAGGTTGGTTTGTTGACTGTAGATGAAATGTATGGTAAACATCCCAAACTAGATAAAGATATGTACTGGGACAAAGTGGTGTTCCAAATGCCTTACACCAAAGCATCCATTAGCCACAAGCGAGAGAACTCCTGGATGGGTTCCACCACAGACATGCAGTAAGTCAATGTATTACGTGGGCGTATCTAGGATTCTGGAATAGGGGGGGGGGGCGATAGCCTGGCCAAAGGCCAAGTTCGCGAGCGCGAAGACCTGTTGGTTGTTAAAAATAGGGGGCGCGCCCCCCTCGGCCTCCCTAAATCCGCTCATGTATTTTGTGGATAAATTTACAAGCTGTCTAATTTGTCGTGTACTAGCAATACTGTCTACTAGCAACACTCGTCACGGTTCACACTTTCAAACTTAATGTAAACAAAGCACAGTCGCTTGTAACATAAAGATAACTATGAGTTTTATCAAAAATTGGGATATTGTCGCCTCCTGTGTGTAAATAATGCTACATGGGCGTACTATACCTTGCATGTGACCCACATTGACCATAATGCATTGCAAAGACTGTGCTGCTTTAAGACAACCATATCACTTTATTCATTGATTACAGCATGGGCGAGGATACTTTTTGGATCACTACGCCTGGTCTTGACACCATAACTGAAATAAGTAGACAGACTATCATCAACGCAGGAAATGAGTTCCAGCACCTGACAAACACGCCACCGGATGACATTGACAATGCCTTATCGCTCCAACGACAAGGATCGAAGGAAAGCACAGCCAAGAAAATCATCCAGAGCATAGTATCTCGTAGAAACAGTCACGTACAACGGGAGTTATCGAACGAGAGTCGCTTTCATACACCGAGTAACAGTCGAATACACACTCCAAAAATAACGCCAATGTCCAGCCCCAAGTTAACAACAAGAGTAGAAAGACAAGTCTCTAAAGAAAGCGAGGCATCCAGAGACGTGTCGAATAGTTCTCCATTCTTCTCACCCGATGAAGAAACCAATGCCACAAAGTTTCCAGTCGTACAAGAAAGTACAGAGACTGCACAGGTAAATATGCTACTATCCACAGAAAAAAATGCGTTGTATAAGGTACTAGTGCATTTCAGACACTAAGAGGACATATCTTGTGAAAACTTTAAACATATGCAACGGTAAAACTTTTCTTTTGTTGTAAACATTGCAAATAAAAACAAAAGAACCGATTGCTTTTGTTTTTATGTTCGAAGCCAATTAATCCGGACGCAAAACAAGCATACAGAGATCATTTATATTTTGTTATAAGAAAACATTTGTTTGAGCTTCATTAGAATCTTATGAAGAATTACTGTTGATATCATTGTACTGAATTTGATTGACTTTATTCTGTTTCAATTTAACAGTTGATTGACATGGATGGTGGTATGGCAGCCTGAATTCAGACCAGTACGCATTGATGGAAAGGCTACGGGGTATATTGATGGTGGAACGGCAGTCTGAAGGAAGACAAAAGTCATTCTAAATGTTATTTTAATGTTTTATAAAATTGAATCAGTGGATTTATGTGTTACTACCACAGTAAATTGCTTATCAAGCAGCCAGCCAACGGTATTTTTGTAATGTTCTGTAACATAACAACAATATGTCGCAAAGAGACCAATTCAAAAAGGTACTCTTACGCTAAATGTTTCTGCAGATGTGAACAGAAATACGTGTGGTTTATAGTCACATGAAATTTCTTCTCCAATGATATGAAACATGTGAACTGATTTGCATAACAATGTGAAAATGAGGTTCCCATAGACGAAATGGAATTCACTACGTCTTCCAACGTAGTGTTTGGACCGCTCCATGATTTCCTACACATGATTTAAATGGTGCTATATATTGTAAATTTACATTTTTTATTCAACAGAAATGAAAGACTAGTAAATAATTTCCATGAAACAACAAGATATAAATGCATTTCTAAGAAATATAATGTATTGACACCACTTGACAATTTGGATTTTATCTTTTGCTGTTATTGTGATGAATAAAGTGGCTGACAAATGTAAATCATTATATTGTGTCTTTGTGTGATGTATCAGTGTACTAACCAATCACAAAATGCTTCTCAGCCTAGCACAAATAATGAAGCTTTGATATTCACCTTTAATTAAATCCCATAATGCAGTGCAGGTTATACATTATAACATTGACTCCCCTGATCGACTTTAACTGATGAACAGATGAGGTCATTTTAAAATCTGACTACCGGGGTAGGGCCAGCTGCTTTTAACTGACCCCTGATGTATGCTGTATCTAATTACATCTACCAATAATTTTCAACAATCAAACTTTTGTTCACTCAGCCAATCAGGTTATTAGAAATCAGTCAATAATCAACATACAAATTATGCAAGATGGGCAAACATAAAAATTAAGACACTTTAGATTATTGTAACAAAATATTCTAGCTCATGAAATCCACTAATTATGCAAATGTGAACTTAGTCAAGATTTCGCATAATTGCACTATGGCTTTTGCACAGTCCTCAAACGTCTTTCTATCATCAAATAACCAAAATAGAGAAAAAGTATGCAACATACAAACATGATTCCTCTATTGCATGGATGAAGGGAGCATCTCCGCCAAACAGTTTTGACTAATACGAGTAGGCAAGAGTGGAAACAATAGGTCAAACCATTTATCAAGTGGCCACTTGTTCTGAATTTTATATTTAGCAATTTGATAAGATGGTGAATTTTCACCAGATGCCACACAACTTAACTTGAATCTTTCTACTAGAGCCCGTACTTGAATATTCAAAATCTGGTTCAAGTTCTTCGTTTCTATTTTGGATACACCTTACTTGGGCAAAACAAATGAGCAATATCAATTGTATTTACAGAACGTTTATTGCTATTAAAGAAAATACATCCATTTCATCCCAAATGAAATATATACGGTGAAACGTAAAAGTTCACAAAATATTTACAAACACAGCGGCAACGAAATATACAATATACTACAGTGATGCCAGAATAGAAAATAACTTAAGGCTAGTCCCCCTAAAAACAGTGATTGCGAGGTAAATTTGGGAATAACATATGTCAAAGTTGAAGAAAGGTACATGTGTTTGAAGCAATAATAATTGTGTATGATTCATCACACTGTTGACCTTTGATTAAAATCTAGAAAAAGTTGGCATTTGTTAAAATGTTAAAGTCAACATTCATGGTTGTCTCCTGATCAGCATAGAAAATATCCTCCTTCTCTGCACTTATTCCCATGTCCAACAAATCTTTTATTCTAACAAACTTTTAAATGTTGTGTAAACAAACAATGTATTTTACAAGCATTGAATATGTCACATGGGACCAATACTGAACATAACGTAATGTACGTGACAACTGTGTCACTTACAAAATTTACGTTATGATGTTATTATTCAAAATACAAACCTTTTTAAATATTATTTGAGATTCTCAACGGCAACGGGAACAGAAAACATGAAACTGCACAAAATTGTTTCAACAGAAATTTGATATGAAGAACAGAGAATGTAATATTTTTAAGAAACAAGTTGAAAGTTGATTATCAATATCTGGTGTTTGCTATAAAATATACAATCTTACATTAAAACAAACACATGCACGTAAACTCACACAATCTATTATAAAACATGAGTGCGAGGCGAGGTATTCATAAAAACCATTCAAAGACTAACGATAACAAAATGAAATTTGTAAATGTGCACATCAAGAGTGAATTATTGGATAAGGGCAAGTAACCGTGGTGATATGTGCTGGAAAACCCACAGGGAAGTCACAAGACAAAAGCATATTTTCATATTAAAATACTAAAGAAAGTTGTTATTTTTGTTGTATTTAACAAAATATTTTCTCCTTTTCTAATGTCTGAAAACGATTTTGTTTCCAAGGTTAACAAATGTTGATGACTTTCTATACTGCAATCAGACAGTACTATACAGATACATGCATGTGACTTGCTTATGTAAATTACAGACATCCAAATAGATTTCTGGTTTATATGCATTTCTATTGGAGATGCGCTTCTACGTTTCTAATTTTCTAATAGAGAAAATAAGATAAAAAAAACTCCACCATGCGACCTCTGAGATTAACATGCATGTCTTCATTGCATATCACCAAGTTCCAAGCCCTTATCTTTTCCACCCTTGCACACATCTATTTGACCAGATAAATACGGTAAGAGAATTGCAATAAACGTATTAAACTTAACAATCGGTGTGTGACAATACATGCAGTAAGTATTCAATTATGTGTTAGTAACACTGTACATCATACTAACCAGTTAAAAAAGATCACATTGTATACGTGTCCTGGTAAAGTTGTGTAATTTTGAAATCAACGCTACTCTTAAAGTACACAAATTTGCAACAGAAGTTTGGCTGATTATTGAACAGAGCATACCACACTAAACTTGTATAAATATATGTAAACTGTATAGTTTTATGAAATTCTGATCAATCGTACCTTTGTTTTAAAATTGGGATATCATTCAGTGCTAACTAATTTTTGTTGTATACATACCGGTATACCGGGTACTGTAATTGTACGAAAATCGTATTCTATAAAATCACATACACATCAATGCTTCATCTATCATTAAAAGTATAGTCCAAATATTTAACCCTTTGAACACTATAATTTTTCCCGCCTCAATTTTGGTGCAATATTTTGCTGATTTTTATATATTTTTCTATAATTGTTTTGATAATTTTGAACAAAATGGACATAATTTACCATTGGCTACAGGGTTTTATAAAAATTTTGGAGAAAATATGAAAAAATTCAGATGAGTTTTATTTTTTGAAAGCTGATAACATTTGACTTTAGTGCTCAAAGGGTTAAAGGTCACAAAGGATTAAAGGTCACAAAATGTAAATAAGCATATGTGCTTCAAATGGAGCAAATATGGTACATTAATGTGCTATCGAGTACGGTATACGACTACTGTTATGGAATACAATACGCAACTGGATTGGTATGAAATATGGTATCTGACTGTTGCTATGGAGTATGATATACAACTGTTGCTATGGAGTATGGTATATGACTGTTGCTATGGAGTATGGTATACAACTGTTTCTATGGAGTATAGTATACGACTGTTGCTATGTTATATGGTATACAACTGAATAAGTGCTTGTCCATTCAATATCTTTCATACATGGAATGGTGTGATATCCAAAACGTTGTTTTCTAAAGTCATAATATCATGACTGGGTTAGAGTCAAGGTCATTAAAATTAATCACTATGTCAACTTTGAGTAGCTGGGAGGTGAAAATTTCCTTCTCAGGTATTTCAATATATAAAGTGGAACGCAACTGACGAGAGTGATGACTACAACCTTCCAGACAAACGCCCAAGACAAGAAAAATGCAGGATCTGTTGAATTAAATAAACAGAAAAAAAACAATCAATTGCATGAAATGTAAGAGATGTAGCAGAGCTGTGTATCAAGTACACACCATGATTATGAAATTAAAGTGGCAATATCTGTGGTTTGGAACATTTTATTGTATAAATAGAACTACATGTACATAAAGATGACCGAAATATAGTTTTAGACACAATTGCATGGACAAAGTCACCATACACAAGGCTAATGTTACATGAAGTGAACCATAAAAAATTATGAAACACAACAAATACTGTTACAATCACCAGTGACAGCCGATACTGGTGACATATTTGACATTTCGACCAGGGCCTCTGTAATCACTGAGGTTTGCTTGACAATACTGGATTTCAATAGATGGCGCTTTCCAGAGACCTTGACATAATCTACAGCCAGTTTTTTGTTGTTGATTTAATGTACAACGTCAATAGCGTAGCGTATATGCTATGTCTTCAGTGTCCACAGTTACAAATTAGCGCTAATGTCATAGGAAATGTTTTATTTAAAATAAGAATCTGAGAAAAAAGATTGATAGTTACAGCTACTCTCCCTTTAATAAATGAATAAAATTATGAAATCAACAAAATGGTACTCACCAAAATATTCTTTAAAGACGAACAGTGAAGCAATATAAATAATAAGTGAAAGGAACTCTGCACCAACCATCAGCAAATGCCATGTACGTATCGTCAACGCCACCATCAACAACTCGGTTAATATTAACGATGTAAATGAAATAGCTATGATGTGGATAAACTCTTCTTCGAAAAGTAACAATGCACCATACATCAGTATACTGCCCTGATATATACTGATTAAGATCCAAAGATAAAACATCTTATACGATAATTCTCTACCCTAGAATGTAATAGATAACAATAGAGTCTTTGGATCAGATTTACATATCACCCACAATGCATTGCAATGTCACATGTTTTGAATAAACCAATCTGGGCTCTAAATGAACCAACAATTCTTGGAAGCCTAGTCAGGCTAATGTGTGGAATAGCTGGTCATATTAAAGTAATATTGACTTCCCCATCAGGTTAGTAATTTGTAGTTAGTAATTGTGGCCATGCACAAAAGAATGAATCTAAATAAATGTCAATGTCTAATCTGTGTCAGACATAGATTTGAAGACAAACTGGTGAAAAACAAAATATCAATTCTGTGTGCATTTTGAGTACCAGTAGTCAAGTTGGGGGCTTATTTTTCTGTAATGGGTAGTCCTTTGTGATTTTGACTCCTGATAGTTTTGAGTCCTGCGAATCATATCTATTCACAAGAACAGCAGTAGTGCGAGATAAAATAATCCTATCATTCTACTTGTACAAAAAAACACAAATTTCCAAAGGTAGCGAACTAAAGATGAATGAAATGCAAATGACACTTTGCAGAAAAATGAATAACCCAGGAGTGCAATTGATGGATTAAGTTTGACGACAATCAGTCCATGTGCATGTAAGATGGCATAGTTGAACTTATAAATGAGCAGGGAATATAATTTGTGGTTTATGTGTTGGTTGGTTTATATTGGAAATCCTATTACCGTATTACAAATTTCAATATGGTGAATGATTAGTGAGAACTGCCTGTAAAATTAAGGTGTGTGGCTGCATAGTCTCCTTTTTTACCTTTGTAAGGTCTTTATAGAGCTCTGGATACAGCATTGCCGTCTCAGCACTGACATCCTCATCTAAAACCAATGAGAACACTGGGAACATAGTATAAACTGTAGCATACCTGTGGATAACAAGAAGTAAGTTCATCATTCTAATCAGATTTTTGGGGGCTTGTTTATTTTTTGTGGTGGTGAAAAGGTTGATAAGTGATAGTGGACATTACATTATCCCATGGATACCATACTTATCCTAATAGTGTGACATAATTTAAGGTAGATCCAACATGCAAAATATATACCAAACATGTTTTTATTGTACATGATACCAGAAAACTGTCCACAACATTAAGGTTTATATAAATGTACAAAATATATGGTCTGATAAACACCCACTGTGATAAAAATGGTTTGTGTTAGCAAGATAATGTGTTTATTTTCTGAATATTTTCACTCAAAAATTTAGTTAAAATCTAAGAACAGTTCTAGCAAATATCATGAATGAACAAAAATGCCACACAGAATATGCAAAGTGGTGACATTAAAAATAATGTCAACAAACTTCATTACAAGGTGTGTGCAATGGTATTTTATTTTAGTAATAGGTGTACTGTCAGCACTTCATCAGTTTATGTGATAAATAAATACTCCCAAGATATTTTCATAAGGTGAATTTTCATGTCAGCTGATACTCATGAATACTGTCGAAGTAGCATCATCTGTGTCTCAAATTGATAAAAACTCTGGCTGTCATGTCTGCTGATGCCAATCTATCAGAAACTATTGTGGGATTATGTACAGTTAACATTGACATTGCTAAGTAATGTGTTTGAGGACATTGGAAAAAACTGTATTCATTGATCATAATAGAATAACAAACCTAATAAATTTCTCCAAACGAGCAGATTTGGTAACTTACCCAACTGTAAGAAATCCCTGATACAGAGCCACCGAAGATAAGTAGAAAACGGATGAGAAGACTGCCTGCATTGTTGATATGATTAGACCTCTATGCATTACGAAATGACTCAGTGTAGCTGAGCGTTTGTAACTATTTCTGCCGTGGACCATAAGTAGACGACCAACATGCCTGAATTGTGTGATAGAGAAATCAGCAGCTAAGGATGCTTGCTTTCCTTCCTGTAACACAAGCATCAATCACTACATTAATTAATTTGTACAAATACACAAGTGAAACGATTCAGTGATGTCAAACTGTGTATGATTAGACAGTTATTTATATTGAATATAGCAGTAAATTTCTTATTTTTAATAACAAATGTCTAAAGATCAACTGTGAATGTCCTTCGTTTTCCACCAACAATCAGAAAAAGGCAACAGGTGTATCTATAACTGCATGCAATGTCTTTATTCAGGTAGCTAAGTAAAGTCCGCAGTGAATCGGTTTCACAAGGGGCAGCGTAATATAGATAGATCAGTTCAATTTTCAATAACCATGACCAACGCTGTTGAGTCATCTCGATATCCACATGGGAACAGCTGTACAAATCTATTTGGCTTGTACAGAAATAGTATAACTGGTCTTGAGTGAATTTATCAGACATGCAATTAACATTAGTACACACTCAATAGGCATAGCTTCCACATGACTCAAAAATGGTTTTACAGTACTCTAAATCAAATGCACTTAGGTTCACTGGGACTTAGAGGTGTTTAGTCAAAAGTTCTTGGAGGGTAGCCTCACACAACTCCTTTCCTAAAATGATTCAAATAATTTAAACGAATAATCAACTTTCAGGATACTTATTTTATTGAACCCCTGTTTATTAAACCACATCCAAAAATGGATAATTGTTTTTATTACAGCGTAATAAATAAATACTGTATTGTATTATTTGACAAGATAGCATGGCTGTGGCTACATACTCAAGTTACCAGGGGTTCATACTCC